TTTGATAATTTTTTTATATTAATTTTTTATATAATTTTTATATTTTAATAAATAAATAAATATATTTAATATTATAAATTTTACATAAATTAAAAAAATTAATCATTTAAATTACGTATTAAATTATATTAAAAAATAAAATAATAATAATAAAAAAATTATTTCAAAACCATTTTCCAACCCGAAATTCACAAACTTACGTGACATGGCAAAGACCTCAGCATACAAAGCTACCGACCTTCCAAGAAAACAAAGCAGGCGAGTCTCGGCACCCCGGTGGCACTGGTGGTCAATCTTATACGCACGGCGGCCTTCCCCCAACAATCTCCTATCCTTATCCTCTTCCTCCTCTCCCCGCCTTCTGCTCCCTCCCTTCCCCATTTCGACCATAAGAATCAGTAAAAATCCCATAACAATGATTGTGTAGCACCACTCTTTTGCATCTCCTAATGGGGTACGTCAAAGAAGAAGGTGCATTCTCTCATTTCGATTTTCCACTGGGTTTTTTCATCGTCTTGTTGATCATCTTTCTGGGTTTTTGGGAAATCCCAGATTGATTAAAGGGTTGTTTTCATTCATTAATTTTTCACACAATTTTTGCAGAGCTTGACGTTGCATGTTTGAATCCTTTTGATGAAAAAAGGGCAAAGATGAAATCTGGATTTTCTTTGCAGGGGATGAGATCTAAGATCTAATGTACGTAGTATGGCATTTCATCCGGCTGAGGTTGACTCAAATGTGAAAATTAAGGATTCTTTTACCCAAAACATGAATACATCCCGCAGAGAAGGCGAGAGGGATCTGGAGAAGGGGCTGTCTCTGCCTCGTAGGCCTTCCCAGTTCTTGGACCTGTCACCACTTCCTTCTCCGAGAGCATCAACGCCGAGGCCTAGTCTGGTTCTGTCCAATTCTGGGAAGGCCCTCATTGCCTCAAATTCTGGGAAGGCGCTCATTGTGTCCAATTCTAGCAAGAGTCTAGGAATTTCCAACTCTGGCAAGCGATATGATAAGAAGAAGTATGTCAAGCAGGTCACCGGTCGCCACAATGACACCGAGCTCCACCTGGCTGCTCAGCGTGGGGATGTGGTTGCAGTCAGGCAGATTCTTGGTGAAATTGATGCCCAGATGATGGGCACACTGAGTGGAGCAGAATTTGATGCTGAAGTAATTTGTTTTTGCATTAGTATAAACATTTGATCCCACAAATAATTTTTTAACATGGTTAACAAATTCAAGGTCTTGAATTTGATTTCAAGTCCCATTTTTTAAAAAACAATTAACAAGCATGTGCTTATTCTTGTGTGCATTGCATGTATTCCTAGTTTTGAATTGATGTCAAGTGTGCTTTTTCCCTTGTGGCAAATAAGCAACTTCAAGCGGTTGCCCAATTTATACACACTAATTTCAAATAATTTCAAAGAAATTGATTGTGGGGTTAGTTAAGGTCAAAAATTCAAATTCCTTCAATAGAGAAGTACTAACTTCTCCTTGCTGATGAAAAAACACTGTGGTAAATAAGCATGTAATGTACCATGTTAGTCATGAATGCTAACTCTCTTAAAAAGATTAATAAGTTGAAGAATCTTGATGCTGCAGTGAACATTTAAGTATTTATGCATGGATACAGCATATATCATACATATGCGGGAAATGAAGCAGTATTGGTTTTTTCTCTAATACTGAATGTATGATTTATTATCAAGGTGGCAGAGATAAGATCATCAGTTGTGGATGAGGTGAATGAGTTGGGAGAGACAGCATTGTTCACTGCAGCTGAGAAGGGGCATTTAGATGTGGTGGTTGAGCTCTTGCAGTACACGACTAAAGAAGGCATCTCATTGAAGAATCGATCTGGGTTGGACGCATTGCATGTTGCAGCAAGTCAAGGTCACCAAGGTGTCTGGCTACCTTTCTCTCTTCTGGTTGAACTGAAGGTTTTTGAATTCATATGATATTATTTAGATGAAATGCATGGACACAATTTGCATTGATGACAAATCCTGACTTATTTTGTTATTCAATAATATGAATGAATGATGGTATTGTTTTTGTTGAAAACTAACTTTTCTATTAAAAAGGACCTAACTTCTTCGATATAGCCTCAACAAGTTTGTGAGTTCGCAAGATAAGTAAAACATCAAATGTATAATTCTTTTATAGATTGATAGAATAGATTTTAATCAAAATTGGCTTGAAATATTACTTGGCCTTTTAGTTTCCTTGCAACCTGTGTGGTGTGTGGTTTTTTTGTTCCATTACTGGAGCTAAAGTGAGTCCATGTCACACTACCTATATGTCTTCTATAATGCTTTTGAGCTGCTTTCTTTTTCTGTTCTTGAACATAAATTACATAGTAGAAAATTGGAGTTGTGTCAGTTCAATAACTACTTTCATGCAGCAATTGTCCAGGTGCTATTAGAGCATGACCCAGGGCTAAGTAAAACAGTTGGCCAGGCAAACGCAACCCCTCTTATAACTGCAGCTACAAAAGGTCATGCAGCAGTCGTTCATGAATTGCTGTCAAAAGATCCTAGCTTGATAGAGATGTCAAAAGCAAATGGAAAGAATGCCATACACTTTGCTGCTAGGCAAGGGCATGTAGACATTGTAAAAGCATTGCTTGATAGAGATCCGCACCTGGCAAGAAGGACTGATAAGAAAGGTCAGACTGCATTGCATATGGCTGTAAAAGGGATCAGCCGCGAGGTAGTGAAACTCCTTCTTCAGGCAGATCCAGCCATTGTAATGCTCCCAGACAAGTTTGGAAATACTGCATTACACGTGGCCACAAGGAAAAAGCGTTCTGAGGTACCATTTAGTGTTATTCATGAATAAGTACATCATTAATGTCAGATAGCAGCTTTCTTTTAATTAGCATTTTTTTTTTATAAAATACAAATATTTTAAAGATGTCATTTGCTGTTAAGTTCAAAGGTGGAATTGGTTTATATTGTCCAACTAGGTTGGTGTTGACTAGTGCTTTACTTACTGCCATTTTTATGATATCTCCTTTTCAATGTCATAGTTGTTTAGTGTTCTCATCAGACTTCCTTGTGCTGCCTTTCTTTCATTCTGTTTCTTTGTTGTATATTTGATTCTCTTTTGCCACATAGGTCATGGTGTACCCTATCATTTAATTTTTTAGCTCTTGTCCATGGGTAATTATTTAGGATATGATGATCACTCTTAATGCAATGACCATGAAAGAAATAGTAGATCACAATGTTTAACTGAGCCAGAATATATATATATATATATTCCCTTACTATATATCTTTATTTAAAATAAGTTCCTAAGCAAAAATTTTTCCAATAATTGTTCTTATTTTAAGTTTAACAAAATAAGAGGCAGTGACCATGTTACTTGTTGCAGATTGTGCATGAGCTCTTACGCCTCCCTGACACTAATGTGAATGCGCTAACCAGAGACCATAAAACGGCCCTTGACATAGCTGAAGGACTTGCACACTCGGAGGAGACCTCAGATATAAGGGACCGTTTGACTCGGTATGGTGCTGTCAAAGCAAATGAACTGAACCAGCCAAGGGATGAGCTAAGGAAAACTGTAACAGAGATCAAGAAGGAGGTGCACAGCCAGCTTGAACAAACCCGCAAAACCAACAAGAATGTGGATGGAATTGCGAAGGAACTTCGGAAACTTCATAGAGAAGGAATCAATAATGCTACCAACTCAGTAACAGTGGTTGCTGTGCTTTTTGCAACGGTTGCATTTGCAGCTATTTTCACAGTTCCTGGTGGTGATAATGATGATGGAAAGGCTATAATGGTCAGCTCACGAGAATTTAAGATCTTCTTTATCTTTAATGCTATTGCACTCTTCACTTCACTGGCAGTTGTGGTGGTACAGATAACAGTTGTTAGAGGGGAGTTAAAATCAGAGAGAAGGGTTGTGGAGGTAATCAATAAGTTGATGTGGTTGGCTTCTGTTTGCACTACAGTAGCGTTTATTTCCTCAGCATATATAGTGGTTGGCCGACGAAACAGGTGGGCTGCCATTTTTATCACAGTTATAGGAGGAATACTCATGGCAGGAGTGTTAGGTGCCATGACCTATTATGTGGTGAAGTACAAACGGATCCGCAAAGTGAAAAAGAGAGAGAAGTATTCAAGGAATGGAGCAAACTCATTTAAATTATCAGATACTGATTCAGAAGTAAACCCAAAAATCTATGCCATTTAATGTCAAAACTCTATCTCAACCAGCTTAAGGTGCTTCTTGTGACATAATTTGAAGGAGCAATTGAAAAGCAGGGAAAGGGTATCTTCTCTTAAACGGGGTTTCATGCTGTGAAGTATACAAGATTTGAGAATCCTATAGTGCAAGTCTCAGGTGTCAACTCAAGTAAATGATTCTTTCTTCTTCCATTTTTTATATCTAATTTTGTTTCATCCATTTGAGGAGGAACACAAAATATTGGAATTGGAGCATTAACTGATAATGACATTGAACTCCTACACCAGCTGCAATGTGAGATGTTTATCGTATGGTTTACCCTCTTCATCTGCAACTGCAGCTTACTTTGGTTTCATAAAGACCTTATTCTATCCAAAATAAAGATAGATGGTATTTTTATGACACCACACATTGTGAATGAAGTTTGATTGCAGCTAGTATATAAGTGTTGCAACCAATAACTACTAACAATTTGAGTTCAAGATTTCAGGAGTCATGTAAATTGACATTCAAGTTTCTTGTAAACATGATATGAATCAGTAAACATTGCGTGTTTCTTGTAATGTAGGCAGTGGCAGATTGGAGTTGGTGACATGATTTTTATTTTATTTTTTGAACTTAGGGAATTTTTGGGATGGGAGTAGTGTTTAGATATTGAATTTAGGACTTCACGTCCTAACACTTTCCATCGAGAAAGTGGTCACTAGAACACCTAATGCTGGGCTGGTGAGATGATTTTTTAGAGGTAAATTGTTAGGAAAATTTGATTCAACAGCAGCTGATTGCTGAAGCTTCTATCGGTTGATGTTGGTGGAAAATTCGTTAACTATGTAGTCTTTAGGCCAATAAAATCACACCACCCCACGGCACCCTGCCCCCCAAAAAAAAAGAAGAGGGAGAAGAAGAAGAAAGAGAAAAGCAGTAGAATAAAGTATGAACCGGGTGAAGGTGGAGCCCTGAAGTCAACTGCTCCACCAGCAACAGCCGATGAAAGGGATAGTCAATAATTGTTACTCCTATTATTATTTACCTTAAAAACGTGTAGGGGGAATTGATATTGCGGCACATACAAATATTTTGCCGACATTAAAATTGATTATTATTGATAAAATAATTAATATTTATAAATTTTAATAAATATAAATTGATTTATAAATTCATCTTTTAATAGTATAATTAATTATTAAAAAAGAGTTTAAATTTACATAATTATAATATTTTTATATATGACAATAATCACATTCTTAAATTATGAATTAAAATTTTATTATGAATTAATCTTTATTATATTTGTTATAAATTAAAAAGTTATTTACTTCAAGAGTAATAGCACTAAAGTTCTACTTAGAGGCCAATAGAGAGATATATTAGTCATTAATATTAATGACTAATATTAATGTTTTAACTTAAAAAAGAGTTTATAAGTTAATTTTTTAATAAATTGTTAAATTTATTTCACAATGACATAAAATAACTTATACAAAAATGAGATTCAAACTCATAATTTCGTCGCAATTGATAATCCTATTCATATTTTCATGAACCTTAATTGGAAATTTTCACTTGGTGGGACAATTGGACATCAACTAAAACGCCTGTTTTCTTGTAATTTCCCTTAAGAGGGCTTAATTTTCCTTGACTTTCCCCATGAGTTTCATGGCATCCAAACAAAACCGTGAATCAAATCAGCTGCCAAGGTGCTGATTGGTTGGGTAAAAAATATAACTATGAAAACAGAAAAACTAAAATTTTCGGGGACTCAAGCTGTCATTTGTCCTAATCATGACTAAATCTTAAACCTTAAAAACTCAATTTAAAGCGCGTGTTTAGCGCCATAAATGCTGGCGGGCCTCGCCTCACTTCCGTGGCGGGCTTGACCCCCGACCCGACTGTTTCCCTCAGTCAACGTTACTTCTTTTTTTTTTTAACAATGGTTAAGAAATTAATATGAATTAATTGTTAGTAACTGGGGATTTGATCTCTAGATTGGGTGAACATTTCACCCCTCAAATGAGGTGCATGACTATTAGATCACTTTTTAGTGAAGTTTACGATGGTGGTAGAGTTCAAAATTTCAATCACTTCACCCCAATACTTAAAGTTCGAGATTGAACCATTGTATCTGAAAGGGTAAGTTCACTCAACGCCACTTCTTTTTTATGTTCCTGGGTTTATGGTGGGTCCCATCACGCGTCATCTAAATTACTTACGTGGTGAAAAAGGATTAGTCAACCGTTGACCACGAAAATGATAGTACTTGCAACATGATGATTGATTTTTTTTTTTTTGATCGGGTAAATAGATGGTTAGGACGTTAGTAGAGTTAGTTTGTTAGCAGCTGAAATTTTTTCAGGAAAGTGAATGTTCCACTCCCTTATTTGAGGCACGCGACTATTAAATTGCAAGTTGGTGGAGTTCACGATGATGGCAGAGCTTGAAGCCCTGACCTCCACCTCATTCAAGCTCTAAAGCTTAGGGGCTAACCAATTGGGCCATAGCACTGGTTGGCGCAACATGATTGATTACTCCTTGCTTCCAGGACTTTTATTATTTTTCTCGGATAAACTCTTTGGATTCTGTTTTTTCATTTATATAAATCGAATTAAAAATTTTATTTAAAGTGAATTAAATTTTTTTCACCAAAATCAACAGTTAATTAGTCTAAAACTTCTATTTTTACTTTCTAATTTCATAGGTGTGAGATTTTAAATAAAAATTTAGTATTTTATAAGTTTAATATTATATTAAGCAAATTAATATATTATTAAATAAAAATTAAAGTTTAAA